AACGTTCGTCAACAAACACACTTGTGAAACTCCGTTGCTACCCCGGAAAAACAAACTGCATCCACTGTTTACTTAACTCAATATTTTAACTTTCTACATCCACCCCAACCCGTTTACCTTAAGAAGTTGGAAGTACCGTGTGTACTGTCGTCTTTTAAGGAATCAGATGGCGGGAGTGGAAAGGTACGGAGACCGAGGGGGATTTTGTTTTGCTGTCTATTTGCAGTCTCTTTTTAAAGGGGTCATATGATGCTGCTAAAAAGAACATTATTTTGTGTATTTGGTGTAATGAAATGTGTTTATGCGTCTTACGCATTTGTCAATCATCCCCACTTGCTAGATGGGGAATGAACCAAGCTCTCTGATTGGTCAAACTCCTCTTTCATTGCTGTTGCTTGATTTAAGTACTGTGCGTGTATAAAGGGGTCACGGGTTTTTGCGTAGTTTAGAGTGACAAATCGTACAAGCGTACTTTGAGGTCAAAATACGTACCCGCTACGCAAAATGCGTACAGGTTGGCAGGTCTGGGGAAGGCGGTAGGGAAGCACAACCTGGTCATCAGGTTCTTTAGGGGGGCAAGAAGGTTGAACCCTCCTCGACCTCCCTCTATACCCTCTTGGGACCTGACTCTGGTGCTCAGAGCACTCCAGCAGGGCCCATTTGAGCCTTTGCAGTCGGTAAAGCTAAAGTTTCTCTCAATGAAAACTCTGCTCCTGGATGCATTGGCCTCCATCAAGAGGGTAGGGGACCTGCATACATTTTCGGTCAACAAATCGTGCCTAGAGTTTGGGCCGGCTGACTCTCAGGTAACTCTTGAGACCCCGGCCCGGCTATGTGTCCAAGGTTCCTTCCACTCCCTTCAGGGATGAGGTAGTGAGCCTGCAAGTGCTGCCCCCAGGGCGTGTCCTGCCCACTCAGGTTGCGAGCTCACTCTACTAAGAGTGTTGCATCCTCCTGAGTGCTGGCTCGTGGCGCCTCGTTGACAGATATTTGTAGAGCTGTGGGCTGGGCGACCCCCAACACGTTCACTAGGTTCTATAGCCTTCGTGTTGAGCCGGTATCCTCCTGTGTTCTCACATTAAACGGCTAGAACCACCGAGAGGCCCCGGCTTATTGTCAGCTTGCTATGTCACAAATCGTGATACCAGCTCCAGAGTGTCTGTACTGTAGACCCTGTCGAGCTCCTCCATCACCCTTGGCAGCCAGATGTGGCAGAGCGTCTGGCGCCGGGCCCCAGGCCCTTATTCGATGAATCTGTGAGAATGGGTAGAGGGCTGTGTGCCATATGTAGTGACCTAGGTGGATCTCATATGTGTATTCTTACACGGTATAGCTTAAGCCTGTGTTTCCCTGGCAGACTTCTCTGCCATCCCTGCAAGGGGGTTACAACCACCTCTAAATCTTCCATATGTGCAGAGGCCCTAAGGGGTTAATCAATATGCATAAGTGCCACCTGAAACTTCCTTCGGGAAGGTTGGGGCTTCCGCAACTTTCCTGTTCCAAGTAGAACGGGTATGTTTTCCCAGTGTTTACCAATCTCACTGAGCGGGTGGTGCTAAGACAACAGTGACTGGCCTTCCTGTTGCGAGCCCTGGCCTATAACCAAAAGGTCACAGGAGGCTCATACAGGACACTGGAAGGGGCAGCATCCATGGCACTTTGGTAGGGATTCCCAGTTCGCCTGTCATCGACGTGAAGTTGAAAGTGACCGACTGAAAGGAAACGTCTCGGTTACGTATGTAACCCTCATTGCCTGAAGGAGGGAATGGAGACGTCACGTCCCCTCGCCACAGCTGCTGTACAACCGCTGAGCGGCTGGGTCACCGGCTCAGCTCCGAAGCGAAAAGCTGAGTATGCATTGCACCTGCTGCCTATTTATACTCGCACTGTGATCAGCGGCAGCTGGATGAAATCATTGCATACCAATGTGCAATGGCTTGTTTAGTTTACACTCAAAGTAGATTGGTCTCTCTAGCGAGATCCCCAGTTTGTCAGTCATCGATGTGACGTCGAAAGTGACCGACTGAACGGGAACGAGGGTTACATTCGTAACCGAGACGTTACTTATTGCTCAGGGGTGTCAAACTCATTTTAGGTTAACCATACAGAGTCTAGTGTTAAATTTAAATTTTGTCAGCTATTATTAAATTCAGTCTTAGTCTTTAGTCAAATGTCCTTTTTAGTTATCATATTTAGTCAACCTATTCCTTTTTCTTTTTTGTTGTTGTTTAGTCAAGTTTTAGTTGACTGTAAGTCTGGGAATTTTAGTGTAGTTTTAGTCAATGAAGATTTATATATTGTAAAACTTAATGGTTGATCTGATAATCCCAATTATTTTGCTCAAAATTATAATTGTGATTATTGCACTTTCACCTGTAAGCACAAATCAAGAGAATTTCAACTCGTATGCATATATATATATATATATATATATACCTTGCTACGTGTACTGCGTTGGGCTAACCGAGACTTGTCATTTGCACTTACATATTGTTGCTCTTTTGATCATTTTGATTGCTTCTGTTGTCCTCATTTGTAAGTCGCTTTGGATAAAAGCGTCTGCTAAATGACTAAATGTAAAATGTAAATGTAAAATATGCAGGATTTGTTTCACTTATTTACTCATCCAGTTTCCTGATTTATATTACTATATGAAATAATACGTGGGACATTCCACCGAATGGGTAACATTTCTGTCCCCAGGACATTAAAAGTATAAAAATGCATGAAAATGAACTCTAAAATACATTTTATTATTAAGCAAAGTGTCTTCACATTTAGCTAACTGCAAAATTTAGAATGTATAATTAAAATCATTAATAAAAACTACCTAGAACACTAAAGAAATAGTAGTTGTTGCATGTCCCCACTCCCTGCCTCTATAATTTACCATGAAATATTATGATTAAAATCCTTCAGAATTTTTTTTTTTTTTTTGCATTGATGTGTGACTTTATATCCAATCAATGATTTCCTTTTTTTTCAAAAGAAAAAAAATCCATAACATTTTTAGTAAAATACACATTTTAGTCGTGTCCCCCGGGGTTTACACTCAGTCCTGTTACCCTAACACATTCCCCCCTCTGATCAACTTGGAACATTCCAAAAGATATTTTTTCAACAGGAAGTTGCATTATCCAGATCTTCTGAAGGCAATGGGGAGACCAAAGGTAAGTCCTCTCATTTTCTTGGACATGACACATTCCTTCAGAAATCTTTCTCTCACACACAGGCAATGTACACACATGCACACACACACAAACGCACACAGAGTGTCTGGATATTCATTCTTGTTACTAGGTGTTCATTCCTGTTACGCATTGTTCATTCCTGTTATTAAATTGTTTTGTTCTAAAAAATGAGGTTAAATGACTGCTTTTTTCATCTGTGGTATGTTCATCATTTATCCAATAGTTTACTTAATTACATGACTTAAAAATTATAATATTGTAGTTTGGGTCTCCTGTATAATAAAAAAATGGCTTTGCATTTTTTTTTTAAATTACACCTTGTGTGCTTGTTTAGTGAATTTTTAGTGACAAAGAAATGGTTGGTAACATGTTTTAATAATTTATATTTAAGATAAACACTATTGTGAGTGGAAGACAAAGGAATTAGTTGACTTTTTTTTTAACATGCTTTTTAAAAGACACTTGATTTTTGGTAACAGGACTGAGAAAAATGCATCCATCCCCTAATTTAAAACCTTGTAAAAAAAATTAAAAAGATGCCTGAGATTGACCAATGTACATTTCGAACAGTGAAATATGTGTGTTGTTAGATTAGAGTGTTAGAGTGTTGAAAAAAGATAAAAAATTAAGTTTAATTTTTAAAAGTTACAAAAGCAAATGTTACCCATTCGGTGGAATGTCCCACACTCACTTCCCCCAGAAACTAAAACAGTGAAATTCCTAATGTTAAGTCCAATAATCCCACATTGTTAAGGTTTTAATTTAAAATCAAACAAAAAATGCTACTGTGGCACAGAGGTTTTATGTGTGCATTTGAGATGCACTTCAGATGCAAAAACCTACTAACATATAAGTCCTACTAACATTTTTTTCTTTTAAATTATCTTTTTTTTTTTTTTTTTACTGGCTCTTATGTTTAGGTTCAGTAATTTCACTTTAATGGCAATGAAAAAGTTATTAGTCAGTTATTGAAATGCCTTAGTTTGCAAGTCCTTGTGTGCTTTTTTGGTAAGTCCACCTCTTTGGACAAGACATAATAAACAGTTGTAGAATCACTAAATTAAATAAAAATAATTATTTAAATTAAATTTTTTTGGGTGACTTACCCCTTTAATGCATTCTTCTTGAATTTAACAAACAGCATGCCATGTCAAACCATACACAGTGAAATACTTGTTAAGACCATGCCATGTGATTTTATTATGGGGCTGCAAACTGCCTTATTCAAACGGTAATTATTTATAATTTAAGTGTCAAGTTAAATGCCAGATACAGTTTATTGTGTAACCAAAGTACCTATAATAACCAGGAAAAAAGTAATGCATAATTCTGACTTTTAATAATAAACCTGAAATACACCAGGGCTCTTATTTTGAAATTTCTATGCTTTACTTCTTCCAACTGTAAAAAGATGGAGAAAAAATATGCACTCTTACAACAATCCACGACATATTGCAATATAGACACAATATAGTAAACCCTGTCATAATTAATCAACAGTAGATCATAAGTAATTGTTTGAAATAAATGTGAAGCTCTCATGTTTATTTAAATAAATCATAGCCTTTTGAAGATCAGTAATCACATTAAGCCATAGCCATTCCTGTTTTTCCGTCCCAAAATGTAAGACCTCTTAAAATATGCTCCTAAAATACATTTTACATTTTGCAAACATCAATTTGTATTCACAAATATACACCCACCCACTGGAAAAAGAAGCTAGCCAGTTGAGATCAGACTCATGTGTGAGTCATCAGCTTCAGATGTGCACTGACGTCACCTCAGCTGAACAAACCGAAAGCGAAAGACTGATCAAACTCCAACTAAAGTCTTCAGGGTAAGTTCATGTCATATACTGTTATCAGAACTGACAAATTTCACAATAATTTTTACAAACTCTATAAACAAAGATGAAGTAGATTGATTGTATTGATCTTTATAATATTATTATTGTTCATATTCAACAATAAATAAAGCAACATGACATACATCGTATATTTCATGACATAGGTCAAATAGTTTTGTCTTTAAATATTTGTTAGTTTCTATTCATTCATTCTTACTGGTACTATTGTCATTATGTTATGAGTTGATTTGTAGTCTGCTGAAGTTTACTTCATAAAATCATCCACTTCAAAAATCTGTTAATCTGTTCACTACTCATCAATACTGTTATGCAGTGGTTCGCAATAATGCAAGAACGTGTAAGCCACTTTATCAGGTGTTCAGTTGTGTTTTTTCCTCTCTAAATGCAGAACTGAAATCTTTATAAAGACATAGAAGAAGACTGGCTCTAAAATGAGTCTCTATGAGGAGAGAGAGGAGGAGGATGTTGATCACTATCAGAACCAGAGAGCAGCACCTCCAGAGCCCAGCTGTGTGAGTGATGCATCCATGGGACAACCCATTTATTTCAGTAAAGGAACAGGGACCTTCAACCTCAGGTAAGACAATAACCAGCACTGGAGATATCTTAATCTAGTGATGCTCAACTCTTCTAAGTTACTGGACCCTCATCAAAACCCTCAAAATATCTTATCATTTTTAAATCATTATTTATTCATTTTGACTTTGTTTTATTTAAAAATATACTGAAAGTTTCATGGTACAATATGCTAATAAATATTTTGTACTTTTTCAATATTACCCTTCTTTTCTTTTCTTACTCTACTTTTCAAACCCTTAAAATATCTCCAAAAGAGAGATATATAATATTATGACACACCATGTGAATCAGGGGTTTAATCCAAATTTTCAGAAGTGATACGATCACATTTCATGAACAGGTTGAAATTTAAGCCTCACATTTAAACCTCATTGGTTCTCATGTCGACCAAATGTCATGACGTTTGAGGATCTTAGATATGCACAGAGAGAAAAAAAAAAAACATAAAGAAACATATTACATATTTTTAATCATATAAATTATTGATGTTTTTCCTCAGTATCAATGGAAGAAATAGAAAAAGAACAGCATGTCCAGAGCCCATATATCAGCCTCCTGATCTAAGTGATGGACCAATGACCTTTAAACCCAGGTGAGACAATAACCAGTACTGCTGACAAGAGACAGATTTAAACATCAGGGTAGGGCTGCAACAGCTAGTTTGTAACTAACTCTTTACTATGGTTGCAACATTTGTTAAACTAGACCATAGCTAGTAAGTCGGTATCTCTCTGTAATGTGTAGTCACATAATATCATGTTCACTTTCAATGATCCAATAGTAGTCATCAAATTCATGAGTAGAAGTTGTTGAAATACCATGAATAATCCATGTCTAAAGGATTGTAGTCTGCCAGGTAAAACATGAGGTTACAGGTACAATTCAATCAGCCTGCTGTTTTATTCCAGCCATTACTCCTGTGGCCTGTTACACAAAGCTTTGTTGAACATACTCCCGAGTTTCAGAGTTGACAAAACCAAAACAAATCTGCCCTGCTTTAGGATCAGGTTCAGCAGGCTCACAATGCTTGCTATAAACATTCTCTGTCAGCTCAGGATGATTGAATGCTGATTGGATGCTGAAGATTTGGATATCATTAATTTAAATACATTTAAAAGGCAGGAAGAAATAACGCTGCAGTCATGAATGTTTGAGAAGGCAGTTGAAAGAAACTTTAACGACTATGTGAATGCAAGTAAATCAACTGAATGTTTTAAAAGAATACTTTATATAGGTTCACAAACAGGATAAAATAAGCTTATCAGTTTCATACACATACACGCATGTAATGGTTTATCTACTGTACAAACTAGGGGTGGCACGATACCATTTTTTCAGAACCGATCCCGATCTGATACCAAAAGTTCTGAGTATCGAACAATACCGATACCGATCCGATACCAGCACAGTTTTTTTTTTATTTCTATACCTCAGTGTGTGTTGACCTGATCATCACTCTTTTGTGTATTACACACAATCTACTAAATATAGACAACTTAATTATAAAGAAAAATAAATAAAAAAATATGTAACCATAATCTATAAAATTACTATTATAAACTAGGTTAGTGGATAATTCAGCAGCAAAAGTTACTCAACTAACATTGAGTTCACAATAATTTTATAAAATCTAAACATTTAAAGGAAAAACATTATTTAGTGGGGAAAAAATAAAAGTAAATAGGTGTAATCTGGTCAAATGTTACACATTGCTCTATGTATTGTAATATACATTCATGAAAAACAAGTAAATATAAATATATGCAATAAATTAAATACATTTCTTTTACATTTATTGCACAGTAATGAGGCAGCAACATATGATAGATAAGATAGAACAAGAAAGGCTATTAACAATCTTTCATTGCGCAAAAGTATTATAACATGAAAGGCTCCAATACAGAGCGGCACGAAGCGCTTATGCTCATCCCGTGAGTAGAATGCACTTAGAATGCGCTTATGCTCATCCCGTGCAATGACTACCGTCCAGTTGCACTTACCCCCATCCTCATGAAGTGCTTTGAACGGCTAGTCATGCACCATATCAAGTCTGCCCTCCCCCCCTCCCTGGACCCCTTCCAGTTTGCATATCGGTCCAACCGCTCGACCGATGACGCCATCGCCACTACCCTCCACTCAGCACTCACACACCTTGTAATTTATATTTAATCTGTATCTATCTGTATTTATGTTCTACTGTTAGTGTTATCTGTATGCACCAAGGGTCTGAGAGTAACGCAATTTCAATTCTGTGTGTATGTGCTGTACATGTGGAAGAATTGACAATAAAGCAGACTTGACTTGACTTGACTTGAATGATGCGCTTGAAGCAACACGGAGTCGCAGCCATAGAGAAGTTCAAAGCACAAAGGGAAGAGACATTGATGCGTAGTGTATTATATCTGTGCGATAGTTTGAGCCTTTTCTTTTAACAGTTTTAAATTTCAGTTGCTGTGTGCATGAAGAACAATTCATAGTGCTCTCTACTCCAGTGTAGTGATCTCTAACAGACACCCGGTAGAAAGTAACGTGATTTAGAATTAGCTATAAACTCCAGCAAGATAAATTCCTTTTATGCAAAACCGCTGATGTTTATCTACAGATCAAGTATAATAATAGGAACAATCTGTCATCTTGTGCCTCAGTTATTGACTGTTTTTACTGTAAAATGAAACCAGAGGACTTCAGTATTAATGGTAGGCCTATGGTAATATTTTGAAGTGTTCATCTTTTTGCCAGAATGATTGTTTTGTATGCTATAATGGATAATAAACTGGGTGATGCAGGGTGATCCTGAGGACACCATTGGTGTCAAGCTTCAAAAAGATAAAAAAATGTGCCATAAAAATAGTTCAAGGGCGAGATGTTCATGGGCCCCCAGGCCCCAGTGCAACTGCCCCACCTGCACTGCCAGTAGTTACACCACTGATCAGAGGTAAAATCACATAATCTGAATTGGTTTTGTTTTTTTTCAGTATCACTAGAAAAAAGAGAAAAAGAGCAGCATCTCCAGAGCCCAGCTGTGTGTCTTTGGAGAGTGACAGATCAATAAATCAGCCTCCAAATCTAATTGAAGGATCAGTGACCTTGAAACCCAGGTGAGACAATAACCACTACTGCAGACAATAATTATTATTTTAAACTAGTCAAAATTTTTTAATTTACTGGACCCCTATCATATTTCAAACAGCTATAGGGGTTGGAATTTAAGTAAAAGGGGAGTATATAAAGTTTTGATTTGGGGTATTAGCCCCAAATGAACTCCGAGTTCATGGTGAACACAAAGACATTCTCAACAGAGCGCCGAATCCAAGACTCACCATGCTTAGAAGCTAAGGTCACTAAGAAGAACCATGCCATAAACATGATTTTGTTCTTATACCAGTTAAATGCAAACCCTGCCCCACAGCCGATTTCACTAGTCAACTAAATCACGTCAAGAAAAGTTCAGACGTTAAAATAACTGATGGTTTCGATCGCTACAAACAGTAATGCTATTGTCACATATCTGTGTCGAAGGCACGGACACGATGGTTCATACTGGCCATCCCAGAAGTTTTGGGACAAATGTAAACGATTTCTGTCACATCTGGCCTAGATATGGCATGGCTGAACACGTGTGGGCCAAATATTCACTATATATATTTTGCCATTGCTTTAGAATTGGAGGGAATTTTCTTTTGGATCACATATGTGATTAGGTATATGGTCCAGATGAGAGCACACAACTGAGAACCATACTGGATGTAGCTTAGCTATGGCACACCAGAAAGGCTACTTGTCTGGCCGAAACATTGGTAACAAATAAACAGTGTTTAAGGGAGTGTGCAGTTATATTTCTTCTTCATTTAAACGTTTGGTTTTAAAACATGAAACCTGCTGTAATCATGTGTTAGGTTTGTGGCAGTGCACATCTCAGCCTATTCTATAATGTTTATTGGTTGCTTTCTTTGCTTTAGCATATCCCTTGAATTCCTATTGGTGGGTTAATAAAAATATGATTGATAACTATTTGTTTATTTTTGTTTAATGTAATTTATATCATACATCCACCTAGTGGACAATCATCCTTGTTCCTCACAAGTTCAATATTGTTTATATTGATGCTAAATAAATAAAAAAATAAAGACTAAAGGTCTTATGTTTTTTAAGTTTGATTAAACAAAATACCTGTATTATTACAGCCATATTGTCTCTTTTTTATGTAGGATACATAGGATTTATAGGGTATAGGGTTTCCCATATCAACTCCTGCTTCTGGAGACACCACATACCATGCAGCTAATCTTTTAATAAATATTTCACATTCTGGTATGCTTGAACCGAATAGGGTGGCAGCAATATATGAAATTTCTCCACATGGAGTTTGCACTTCTGGTCTGTTGTAGTCACATGCATATAAATGGAAGTGTGTTCGACTTTATGTGGCACTGCTCAGATGGATCAGCGTCTGACTTCTGTGGAAAAGAAACTGTGGTAAAGTACGCAAACACCACGCAAGTGTCAGTACAGAAAGCAGAAAGTATTCAACTTCAGAACAGAGTTGGGTTCCATCCGTAATCGAACAAACTTGCCTTGAATTTCTTACTATATGCTCCCCAATTTGGAAACTAAAGCTTCTTTGTGAATTATGCAGTGCATTGTGTGAATGTTGGTGTGAATCTGTTTGATTTGAGATTAGCCTAAATATTCATTGTCATCCATCACCGTCATCACCTGTATCACCTGTATGTGCATTAACAGTATCTCTGCACGGTTTCCGGCAGTGAGCCAGAGTGATTCATTCTCATTATTTACTAAGTAATGAGGCATTTGAGGTAATGAGTAATTTGTGGAACCTCATTTTATGAACAAACAAACATGGAGAGACTAAAATAATTTTCAGTAAATTCCATTTATAAAGCTTGTTCTGGCTAATCTGGAATAGTTTCTGTATAAAAATAGTCTGGGCCTACAGAGCTGTTTACAGGGCTTAAAGTACTCCGGCACCGTGCTGGATCTCCGGCGTGCAGCATTTGGCAGCGGAACAAAAGAATCCTACATTTAAAAAAAGCTTGTTGATATCACTTTCGAGTCCATGAGTTCGCCTACCAATGGTATGCGAGGAGCACAGCTTTCACTCTCAACCAAACTAGCATTACTAGCCAATCAGAATTTTTTGCTCTTATAAACACGAGACGTGCATAATAGTATCCAATTGCAGAGTCGCAGCCCTGATGAATGGAGATGTGCGACATGTTGAAAAAGCTGCAAGGCGCAATGTTCAAAGATGTCCATCTAGCGCATTTACATAGAAAACCGAATTAAAAAGCAGCGGAGCTTTGTAAACCGCTCAGAGTAGTCATGTCATCTCCATAAGAACAATATGATTGCCAGAACAAATTTGCCGGGATTTTTGAAAAGGTCCTCTTCACACATGATCTCTTAATGGTAACTTAACGGTAATTTACCAGTAAAGACTGTATGTGTGAAAGGGGCTAAACTCTTACTCTGCATATGCTGGGAATTTGAATTGCTTAATGTTCATCTGGAAAAACTGTGCATTTTCTCACTAGATTTGTTACGTAAATCATTTATAAACCATCATATTTCTAAATATGCCATTTATTGTACATTGTGATTTCAAAATAAAAGTTTCTGAGTTTGCATGTGGCCAAATATTACAATTTAATGGATTTAAACATCATTAAATCACGCTGTAAAGTGAAACGTCACCAGGCCGTTGGCGCCCTCTGCAGGTATTTGTTATAGTACATACTGTACTTAAGTTGGTTATGTTCATATTACATGGTTTTATTGAACAACACTGTTAAAACACAATGTAATTACTTGGTTTTGATACTTTATTTGAGCCAATTATTATTGCCTCATCGTTAGTTTATATATAAATAGTCATACTAAAGTTTGTGTTACTAAAAAATATCATATTAATTGTCAAAATAATCAGTAGATTACTTGATTACCAAAATAATCATTAGTTACAGCCCTAGATTAGTTAAAATATTTCAAAATACAACTGCATTGTTTTACTTTTTGTAATTAAAAGACAAACATTTTGTCATTGAAAATTTCTTAAAATTAGTATTAAAATATTCTTTCTAGTGAACCAAGTATCTGTATTTTGTCTCATCTCATGAGCTAAGTGTATTGTCACACCACTAGTGTCGATAAGCAGTGATATAGCTCATAATTTTCCAAGTGTATGATATAGCTTTCATTCTTCAGGTCAACCATATATTCATGAAAAAAAAGCCCTAGATTAGTTAAAATATTTCTAAATACAACTGCATTGTTTTACTTTTTGTAATTAAAAGACAAATATTTTGTTATTGAAAATTTCTTAAAAATAGTATTAAAATATTGTCTCGTTCTAGTGAACCAAGTATCTGTATTTTGTCTCGTTCTAGTGAACCAAGTATCTGTATTTTGTCTCGTTCTAGTGAACCAAGTATCTGTATTTTGTCTCATCTCGTGAGCTAAGTGTATTGTCACACCCCTAGTGTCGATAAGCAGTGAGCAGTGAAGCAGGAATTTTTCAACCATATATTCATGAAAAAAAAATCTGTTTGAATAAGGAACTTTGACATAGTATATAAATAACTTTGACATAGTATCCTTTCAAATGTTAAAGTTGCCACAGTCATTTCATGCTTTGCATGTGCTGCCCCATTACCCCCTTACGGAAAAAAGGTTCAGGCTCAGGATTTTTTTTTTTTTGCTTTAACCCGTGTTTATTGTGTCTTGACTTGTTTTAAGAATGACATACATAACTTTACTCGAAGAACTTGTTGCTCATGCTCTCATTCATTCTTTGTCTTATTCTTCTTGTCTCTGCTGTGTGGATAGAGATGATCAGACTGGAGACCTGCAGAAGGAATCTCACCAATCAGTAGACGTTGAACTACAGAGAGTCAAAAACCAACACAAAACTAGCATGAAGAACAAGTATGAGAGATTATGTGAGGGAGTCAAACTACAAGAGAATCAAACCTTCCTGAACACGATCTACACACAGCTCTACATTATAGAGGGAGAGAGTGAAGGAGTGAATGAAGAACATGAGATTTTACAGATGGACAAAAAAGCCAGAACACAATGCTCACAAGACACTCCAATCTACTGCAATGACATCTTTAAAGCCTCACCTGAACCAGGATGTAAGGAGAAAGACCGAATCAAGACTGTTCTTACTAAAGGCATTGCTGGAATTGGAAAAACCGTCTCTGTGCAGAAGTTCATTCTGGACTGGGCCGAGGGAAAAGCCAATCAGGATGTAGATTTCATGTTTGTGCTTCCATTTCGAGAGCTGAACTTGATTAAAGATCATCAGTACAGTCTTCACAGACTTCTGCTGGACTTTCACCCTGAACTTCAAGATCTGGACTCAAAGATTTACAAGGAGTGTAAAGTTGTGTTCATCTTTGATGGTCTGGATGAAAGCAGAATCACACTGATGTTTTCAGATGCTCAGAAAGTTTCTGGTGTTACTAAGATTTCATCAGTGGGTGTACTGATGTCAAACCTGATGAAAGGAAAGCTGCTTCCCTCTGCTCTCATCTGGATCACCACCAGACCAGCAGCAGCCAATCAGATCCCCTCCAAATACATCAACCGTCTGACAGAAATTCAGGGATTCAATGAGCCTCAGAAGGAGGAATATTTCAGGAAGAGAATCACTGACCAGCATCAAGCCAGCAGAATCATCTCACACATACACACCATGAATCTGTGATTTGTAAATTCTATTAACGAATCACAGATATTTTTTTTCTTATTGCATTTCACAAAATATCAAAATTTTTCTGTAACTTTCGTTCATATATTTGAGAGATTTATTATTAATTTTCTTAAACTTTTATTGCATTTGTCATAAATATTTAAGTTGTTTTTTGTTTTCTCAGCAGTGGGGAGGATTACTGCTTGACTAATAACAGGAAGTATATCACAGAAAAGATAGAGACTGAAAACATGCATCAGGATTCTTACCAACCAGAAAAAGATGCTTTTCAGAAAGTTAAAGTTCAACACAAAAACAGCATGAAGAACAGGTATGAGAGATTATTTGAGGGAATCCAACTCCAAGAGACTCAAACCCTCCTGAACAGTATCTACACACAGCTCTATATCTTAGAGGGAGAGAGTGAAGGAGTGAACGAAGAACATGAGGTTTTACTGATGGAGCAAACAGCCAGAACACAATATTCACAAGACATTCCAATCTACTGCAATGACATCTTTAAAGCCTCACCTGAACCAGGATGTGAAGAGAAAGACCAGATCAAGACTGTTGTTACTAAAGGCATCGCTGGAATCGGAAAAACTCTGTGCAGAAGTTCATTCTGGACTGGGCCGAGGGAAAAGCCCATCAGGATGTAGATTTCATGTTTGTGCTTCCATTTCGAGAGCTGAACTTGATCCGAGATCATCAGTACAGTCTTCACAGACTTCTGCTGGACTTTCATCCTGAACTTCAAGATCTGGACTCACAGATTTATGAGGAGTGTAAAGTTGTGTTCATCTTTGATGGTCTGGATGAAAGCAGAATCACACTGATGTTTTCAGACGCTCAGAAAGTTTGTGATGTGACTGAGACTTCATCAGTGGCTGTGTTGATGTCAAAGCTCATGAAAGGAGAGCTGCTTCCCTCTGCTCTCATCTGGATCACCTCCAGACCAGCAGCAGCCAATCAGATCCCCTCCAAATACATCAACCGTCTGACAGAAATTCAGGGATTCAATGAGCCTCAGAAGGAGGAATATTTCAGGAAGAGAATCAGTGACCAGCATCAAGCCAGCAGAATCATCTCACACATCAGAAGAGCAAGAAGCCTCCACATCATGTGCCACATCCCCGTCTTCTGCTGGATCTCATCCACTGTGCTTCAAAAGCTCCTAAAAGAAGATCTGAGTGCAGAAATCCCTCAAACTCTGACTGAAATGTACATCCATTTTCTACTAACTCAGATAAACATGAGGAATCAGAAATATGAGAAGAGACATCCAGGAAAACCCCTGCAGTCCAACAGAGAAGTGATTGTGAAACTTGCTGAACTGGCTTTCAAACAGCTGATGAAGGGCAATGTGATGTTCTATGAAGAGGACCTGAGAGAGAGCGGCATAGATGTCACTGATGCCTCAGTATATTCTGGGATTTGCACTGAGATCTTTAAAGAGGAATCTGTGTTCCATCAGAGGAAAGTCTACTGTTTCATACATCTGAGCTTTCAGGAGTTTCTGGCTGCTTTCTATGTTTTTTACTCCCATCTGTTAAAGAACATGGAGCCACTGAAGTTGTTTCTGAATGATAAACATGAGACATACACATCTGAAAAAAGCCCTTTGTGTGAGCTGCTAGTATCAGCAGTTAAAAAAACTCTTCAGAGTAAAAATGGACACCTAGATCTTTTTCTGCGGTTCCTGTTGGGGGTCTCACTGGAGTCCAATCAGAGAGTCTTACAGGCTCTTTTGACATGCACAGAGAATAGCTCAGAAACAATCAGAAAAATAAAAAAACACATTAAACACATAATCAAGGGAAATAAACGTCTCTCAGCTGAAAAATCTATCAATATGTTCCTCTGTCTGCTGGAAGTTAAAGATCAGAATCTTTACAGAGAGATTCAGCATTTTGTGAAATCAGACAAACACTCGGAGAAGAAACTCACTCCTAATCACTGTTCAGCAATCGCATATATGCTTCAGATGTCAGAGGAGGTGCTGGATGAGTTTGATCTCATGAAATATAATACATCATCTGAGGGAAGACGGAGACTGTTACCAGCTGTGAGAAACTGCAGAAAGGCTCTGTGAGTATTCATTCATGTCATCACATTAATTTATGTCATCACAGAAGAAACAGGTTTGTTTGAACTAATTCATCTATCAAATCATGACCGTGTTTATTCATAGAACAAAATGTGAATAAAATCATCTGTTCCTCCCATGGGCATTGAAGCAGAAATTATATAACAGTTGAAAGCACACTGAACAGTAGACAGTAGAAGCACAGTTGTGTGGAAAGGATGTTTTCAACCATCTCACATTCAGAATTAAAGATTCAAAGTTCAAACTGTTAATACCCCAAACAAAGTATTAGTGCTAAAAAAAATTAATATAAAGACTAGACTAGCAAAATAGGTAACAGTAGTGAAATAAAAGCTAAATACACCCTGTTATTCACAAGAAAAGCTTTGAACAATATGGATAATTGAATAAACCACGTGTGGGTGGTACTGGTAGAGTAGAAGTCTGTTTGAAATGGATGACAGGTATTTTGTGGGGTGCATGAGGGCAGCTCAAATGAGTCTGAAACACTGCTCATCTCTGGGCTTTGCCGGTGAGTTTAATGGCAGCAGTAATGATGCCATTGTTGTGTTCAGAATGACTTGAAAGTCTGTTATCGTTTAGTGCGTAATGCCTAGTTTTTAACCATCCATCTCTTTATCGCTGTGTCATCCTGTTATAGACTTGCTGGATGTGGTCTCTCTGATCAACACTGTGAAAGTTTGTCTTCAGCTCTACAATCATCAGACTCCCATCTGAGAGAGCTGGACCTGAGTAACAACGACCTGCAGGATTCAAAATTGAAGCTGCTCTCTGTTGCACTAAAGAGTTCACACTGTCAAGTGAACATACTGAGGTTTGACTTTCACAGTTACTCATTCACTGTGTTCAAATACTGTAGATGAACTTACTGACTATCTCCAATAATGTGATTATAGCCAATAATCAGAGTAAGGACATCTTGAGGCTGGAATACACTTCACACTTTTTGCCCAGATTTTTGCCTCGATTTGCGGTCGAGGTTTGAATCTCACTTCTACAAAGGCCATTCTCACTCCTCACTCACTTGGTGTTTGGTCTGAATACAGACTTATCCTTGTTATTCGCTACCCTGTGGATCAGTGGTTCCCAGTCCTGCTCCTGGAGAACCCCTAACACTGCACAATTTTTGATGTCTTATCTGACACACACATTTAAGGTCTTGGGAGTCTTTACTAATGAGCTGTTGAGTTGAATAAAGTATGCTAGATTAGAGAGACATCTAAAATGTGTTTTGTTAAAGGTTCTCCAGGACCAGGATTAGGAACCAATACTGTCAATTATGCTCTGGCTTCACATGCTCAGACACTTCCTACTTCCCACTTTTGAAGTTGTAATTACGAGTTTGTTGTGTTCAAGAGCTTTGTTATCAGAAAGAGCAGGGATCATAGTGGATGGCCCATTCATGAGTTCATTCTTGCCTGTTTCTTGGGGAAATCTTATTAAAACCAAATAGTACAGAAGATATTTAGCCATTATCCAACAGGTTTGAATAAGATGTAGCATTCCATTCATTGGTTACTATATAAACATTCACTGTGCTATCTAGATATTCAGCTGGCTGATGATTCCTAAATTTTGGTCAAATGAATGCTATTTTTGCTGTGTTCAATACATAGAATATGCATCAAATGGTTATTTAGAGTCGCTACAACAACTACTGCAGTCAGCTCCTGTACATTCCTGTTTGTTTTCATTTGTCATGCATCTCCTATCAATGAGGGGCGTTTGTTGTGTTCAGAATGACTTGAAAGTCTGTTATCCTCAGTCGTTTAGTGCTTGATGCCTAGTTTTTTTCTGTAACCATTTTGAAAACCAGCAAGTGTATGATACCTAGCATTTTAAAATCTATTCAGGTTTTAAAAGTTGTGTATTTCAGTCTTTATTAATTAAATTTGTTTGCATGAGCAAACTTCCTCACTTCTGTTTACATGCAATTTACCTTACCCCATCCCACCTCAATCGCAGCCGAAATGATTTGCTAGACAACATGAACACAATATTTTGTACCTAACAATTATTTTGACATTAGTACATAACTGTTTAAGACGCCTAATATAGAGTGTGACCCAGTTTAATAACAGCATTGCTATAATGCTTTCATCACAATATAATGGTAATATGAATGTAAGGATGAATGTAAATGTAGCCATTGTCAATGAATCTCTTGTAACACATCTGTGGCAGACAAACACAAACGATGTTCTGTGTGTGACAGGTTTGGTTTACAGTTGTAAATGGCTGCAGCTAGTACTCACGGTGGTACTTGTGACCCAAACAATCAATGTAAAAACAGATCTGTGGGAGAAATTAAAGGGGTCATATGATGCGATTTCAATTTTTCCTTTCTCTTTGGAGTGTTACAAGCTCTTGGTGCATAAAGAAGATCTGTAAAGTTGCAAAGACTAAAGTCTCAAATCCAAAGAGATATTCTTTATAAAAGTTAAGAGTCAACCACGCCTACCTAAAACGGCTCGTTCTAACACACCCCACATACCTACGTCACTATCTGGGAAGAGTTGCATAACGCCGCCCAAATAGTGACGTAGGTATGTGGGGGCGTGTTAGAACGAGCC